TTTCGGTACAAATAAATTTAATGAAACCCAAGGGACGTTGCTTACTTTTCTGAGACCCCCCTTTTCCAGAAAGATATCAAAATAGTAAACATCAAAGGGAGACAAATCTTCTAGAACTAGTGTTGAGAATCCTGAATACTAATTTGCTTCTGATTGGTTCGATAAATAAAAAAATAATTTAATTAAGATTGATTAAATGACTCTTAAGGAGTTTTAAACATTTCATAACATACACATGTACAAGTTAGACTTTTCTATGAAATGGAACCTGATACATTGATATTTGTTTTTCCTAACCTAAACTGAATACGGATCTACAGATAATCAATGAATATTTTGCTACCTTCCATTTTCATTAGTATAAAAAAAAAATCAAAGAATTCACTTATTTTAAATCCTTATTAAGCATTTCTTTATTTTGCATGAATGAGATTGAAAAACCTTCAAAGGGGATAGTCTAATTGGAAATGAAAGATCGTCTTTTTCTTATTTCCAAGATTTCGTTTGATAAATTCGTTACCTGACTTATAATTAACTTAATTTAAGGTTGGAAGTAGGCATTTAACTTCTGGAAATTTCACTTCATTAATTAGATCAAAGTAGGACTTGAGGACTTAAAACCTATAATTTCATTTCTATAATCTGCGCTGTATTTTTGATTTGTTAATTTATTTGTCGATAGGGAAAGAAAAAAATATCATTGCATGTGCAAAATATTACTCAGCTAGTTAAACCAATCTGTTTTTTTCTTCTTCTATAAAACAGATAGAACAAATAACACTGATGGACATGATCGAGTGGCATTTATTTGTCCCCTATCAGTGAAACCAGAGGAAACTATAGGTGTCATATCAGTATTCTGTTGGAGTTTTGTCAAAACAAGGCAGTAGCAAAATAATTTCTGAATTTCCCCTCTCATTAGCAAAATTTAAAACTGTGTTGACACCTAAATAGTTTTCCTCCCAGTCTGTCAGTCTGTCCTTCTGTATGTCAGTCAATCTATCCAACATGTTTTTCTGGATTTTATCCCAAGACACTGAATGTAATTAGCTGATTTTTTTTTATATGTGACTCTTTTTTGGTGTTATTTGCAGATTAAGTTTGCAACTCGTTCTGCTTTAATGATTTTCGACTGAATTAAAACCCATATTGATAGGACTCACTTGCTTTTGCAATATTCTCAGAATACCTGTACTTGTTTACTTAATATCACACCCGCCGCGTGCCTTTTGTCATGATCGGGTAAACAGAGAATAATCCGTAATCAATTCGGAAGATGATCTGGACTCCATTAAAAAACTCTGCACTGCAGGGGTGCAGAACGAAAGATCAAAACTCTTCCAGAAATCGTGTTTGCATTGGAAAGTGAGCGTTTTGGTGTTGAGGAATTCAGAAAGCATGCAGAGGAAAATTCCACCAAAACCGAACAGAAGACAGAGGGAAAACATAAAAAAAAACAAGAGCTTAGGAAACAGCACAAGAAAGCAAACACAGAGGAGGCAGGATTACATCAACTTAGGGAAACCTTATGAACCCGCTTAAAATCCTTCCAGAGGGCAGAAAGAACAAGTGAAAGGCAAAAAACTGTGGCAAAGAAAATAGCAGCTTTCATAAAAGACCCATATAGGTTTACTCAAGCTTTAGATGGAGAAAAGTTCGGAGTATTGAGTGCCAGAAAAGAAGAGATGGAGGAACATTTCAAGGATAGTCATTCAAATCCCATGAAAGACAGCTCACTGGGAGAGTGTTCAAGCGTAGAGGAAGTAGAAAAACTAGTCTTACCCTTAGACTATACAGAGAACCAATTTGGACAGAAGTCTCGGAAGGTTACAAAAGCCAGGCTACAATGTAATTGGTTCTCACCTTGAGAGACTCAAAAGACGGGAAGATTCGAGGAGTAGGAATAAAAGTAAAAACAGGAAAGAAATGGTCCGTCGGAAATGCAGTCCATTATACATATGGATGGCATACATAGCGTATATAAGGCGTATATAAGGCAGTCTGAAACATGCAGATATAGTGAGCACAATAGCAAATGGAAGAATTGAGGAAAGCCATAGCAATAGAAGGGGCCTTACAGAACCTCTGAATTGTGAGTTATGTCGGAAAACAGGAACATTTGAGGACATTTTGTCATCCTGCAAAGTTGCTTTAACACAGGGCAGGTATAGGTGGAAACATGACAGAGGACTGAGAGAGCTGGTAGACATTCTAAAGAAGGAACGGAAGAAGAGGGGACATATTTAAAAAAAATTTTTTTTTGACCCATCGAGTATAGATTTTGCAAACGATTACCATCGTTCCGGCCGAGTAATCGGTTAACGGGTTACATGTTCGAATTGCCATCCTTACTAAAAACATATTGTGTGAAAAAATTTAAAGAATACATTTGCAAAGAGTTTAAAGGAAAGAAATAAACTAAATAATGTTTCTAATCATATTAAAATTAATCATACATCTAGCTTTATACTAATATTTCATAAAAAAATTGCTTATGTTCAATCTGACTAATTTTGAACAAAAGAGACACTTGGCACACGTTGTAACAGATATTAAGAAATTGTTCACTTTATACTAGCAATACCTCGTAACAAAGAATGCATGCATTCAAGAACAAAATTCCCTCTTGGCAAATTACAGTTCCGGAAGATAATTTTTAAAGTATAGGATATTAGCATGGTCTGAAAGAGGAAAAGGACGAGCGCTCTGAGAATGAATTATACTCTAAGAATCATTGGTAATTTAAGACGGAACACCCGCTAATTTTCACAACTAAATGAAGTCTTTAATTTAGGTCCATGTCTTGGCGATTCTTTCTGTACACTGTAAAAATTGCGCTTAGGAAATAAACACTTCCATTACGTGTTTAGATCTAAACGTGTTTGATTTTGTGTTTAACAACTAAATACTTACGTCTAAATGTATTTAAAATCTATACGCGTTTAGATATTGAACATGTATTTTGTTTTAAATTCGGTCAAGTGCAGAGTTATCTTCCCGGAAATGTTATATATTTGAACGTTAATAAGCGCGGTTGTCGAAACAAAGAAAGTCACAACAAAATAGTAAACGAAGTTTTCAAGGAAACTGATGAGGACTTGAGTGACAGTCAACGCAGAAATAGTGAAATACATATGAAAGGCTTCTTGTTACTTCTATAGAGGGTATGTATGCTTTGGATTAAATAAAATTTACATGAAGATTAATAAAGGTAAATAACATTGCGCTTTATATCTAGGATGTCTTTGGGTGCCATATCATGTATTCATTAATAAGTGTAAATATTGATTCTAAAAATGCATAAATATTGATTAAACTTAAATGCAACGTACATTCTTTCTTACAGGTTAAATTTATTGGATAGCCGAGAGAAAGAATTTCAAACTTCCTTTCTGTTTATGGATGTGAAAGATGAATTATACATATATACTACCATAGAAAATACTTTCAAGATTATCCATAAACTCTGCTGTTTTGTTTACATCACGGGGGATTTGAAATAGTGAACCATATTGCATCACACTGCAAGAAGCACGCCATACATGTGTACCTGGAGTCTTTACAATATTAACTTTGTATTTTGCTACTGCAGACAATTCAACAACAGGGTGTTACTAACTGTTTAGATGCCAAAAAGTATGATATGTCATAACTTCTAAAAGACTGTACAAAAAATTGAAAACCATTCACAAGAGAAAGGAGTTTCGCCGAACAATGAATCTGTGAGAACATTTTACTGTGTGTTAGGTCTTTTTTAGCACTTTGATATGATGTTTAAATAAAACTATTAATGTCCTGTCATATTTTCAGTTTTCTTGCAGATTCTTGTTTAAAACATTGAAGTGTTTAGGTTCTAAACGCAAATCTAAAACTGATTAGAAATGTGTTTAAAATCTAAACATGTAAGCATTTAGGTTCAAAACACTTTTCATTACGTGTATTGAAATTAAACATGTTTAGAATTTAAATGCATTAAAAAAAGTGTGACAAGATTGTGCTTAGAAAAGTGTCTATCATCTAAACACATTTTTTACAGTGTACAATTAAGAAATGAAAGGGGGTTCGTATGACTTTACCGGAGTAACGGCTTCTGTTGTGGATTTCTCTATTTAAACACCGGATCTATTGGTTTAACATATCAATGTCCTTACTAAATCAAATATAGCTCTTTTTAAATGATTTTAATTGTTTCAATTAACTTTAGTTCCAAATTTTTGAATAAAGAGTGTCTAAAGAATTATTATTGTAATCTTCCGATCTGTTAAATTACTTTATTCTTATAAAAATGAAAGCTTGAAAAACTATTTGCTATTGATTAAAAAATACCAATTCCATGTAATCAGGGTTTTAAATCAGATACATATTGTAAGTATAATACATTTATTTAGTAGCATTAGGAAATAGAGATGTTTGGAATACATATGTACTTGTATCAGGGTAATTGTAATTTGAATAAATGTATGTATTATTATCAGAAAATGAACAATCACAATATTGAGTAATAAAGCTACACTTTTTGTAGTTGAATTATTCATAAATTTGGATACTCTTCTGTCGGTACCTTTTCAAAAATGATCACGAATACAAATATTATCAACTGTATACAAAGATTAGATAAGTATTATAGATATATTAATTTATTTCTTTTTGTAAATCTTTAAACCGTTTTTCTTCGTGTACGTTACGTGCACGTTTTTTTAAAAAAAGATAATAAAAAGATTTTGCTTTTTACAAAATACCAGCAGATCTTTGATCGGCTGAACAGATCATAATTCTATTTTTCGAAAGATGCGAACAAAATGTAAATTTAATAACTCCTCATTTTCAGATCTATATTACGTTGATCAATCCAGCTTTGGGTCAGGACAAGACAAATTCCGACTGACCCCTAAATGAAGTCAGGAAAGGACTCCAAGATTTCTTTACCTATTGTGTAAAATTACGCATAAATAATAAAAACAACCCATTTCCTTTACTATTAAAAATCTATTCCATTCCAGAGTCCTCCGTCATTGAGAGAAATAGTGTATCAGATGAAGGTAAGGACCACCCAAAACTGAAGCAAAGACGGAGTCGTACAAACTTCACGTTAGAGCAGCTGAATGAGTTAGAGAGATTGTTTGATGAGACGCACTATCCTGACGCCTTTATGAGAGAGGAACTCAGTCAAAGATTGGGATTGTCAGAAGCCAGAGTTCAAGTAAGGAATAAAAAATAACGACATTTTAACAACAATTTGGAGAAATTTAGAGGAAGTTTTAGTTAGTGTCAGAATGGTTAATTCACCCTCGCTATATCTTTACAGAGTATTTTCTTTGCCACTATTCGTGAAAGGAAGTAAAATTTTATTTTGCCGCGAATTTGTTATTTTCACAGTGAAAAATAAGAGGCCTGTGAAAATATTAATTTTGTTTAATGGATAAATTACTCTTTTATTTACTTTTTAAAAAAATGAAATGAATAAATATATTTTACAGACCTCTGATTAGCAGAATAAAATCTGTCTGACAAATCTTTACAAAAAAATTAAATCCGAACTTTTACTTAGATGGTGAGAAATAAGTTTTGTAGCATTATTTAGTACAAAGATACTGAACTTAAAAAAGGACAAAGTTTCCGTTACTATGGTATCTAACCGTAACTAAGGTCTCCGTCTTTTTGGATGTATTACCGTCTATATTTTCCATTTCAGTGATAAAGTTAGCATGAAGATTCCCAAGAGAAATTCTAAATCTCAGCACTCCTAATTGAATAACATAACTTTGAACGTATCACCCCTATAAGGACGAGTCATGCCTATATAATTGACATTTGAAGATATTAGATAAGGAAAGTATAATTAAACAAATTAGAGCTTAGATTGATCACTCTAGTGAATGCTAGTCTTTTTTTATTCCTCTATTCCGAGGGAGGATTATTGACACAAATTCCTCAGCTGATAAAAGTCTAACATGCGAAGAGAAGGAAAAATCTGTCAAGACGACGGAGACTAGGGAAAACGTAAAATACTACTGCGTACTATAACCTGACATTTTACGGCATTAGCACAGTTATTATTATGAAAGTGAGAGTTAAAATATAAATAGATTATCATAAAGGTTATAAAAAAAATTTATCCTCAAAATTTAATTAACAGTTAACAACAGGCCTGTAGAAATTTTGACAAGGGAAAACTGTTATGAGAGAACAACCATAAATTTATTGTTTTCTATTGTACAATATATACTGGCGAAATTATTGGGGATTTTTTTTTTTGGGGGGGGGGGCGGCTTTGGCTCGCCGTCCACGAGATTGACCAACCCGACATATTTCTGTAGAAAGTCAGTAACAAATCTAATTAGTGATTTTTTTTCTCCAAGATCATAGTGTGAGGAAAAAAAAACCCATAAGACAGGTACATACATGTAGCATTTTTTTCAAAGGGGATGGGGGAAATAAATATGCATCACACATATAATACTGCAATATCAATTTAAAGCATTCTATAGAAGAAAAGGATTAATCAAGAGAAAATTTTCAAAAATGTAATTATCAAAAAAATTATCATCAACGAAGACTGCATTGAGGTTTATGGGACAACCAAATTTTTAAAAATAAAAATTCAAATTATACGAATATCAAAAAACGCTCTGGTGGAAAGATGTATTTTTTCATTGAGATGTATTTCATTATTGAGAAAAGAATAATGATTGAAAACACTTTTTACCAGATATTTTCCAAAAATTAATTTTATTGAATGAAAACAGAGAGAGATAACTTTTCAAGGACAGGTCAAGGTCACAAACAAGAACACATTTCACATATTACATAGTGATACATATAGTAATAAATGGGAATTATGTCTTAATAGACTGAGTAATCAACCCTATTATATCAGGTATGTATTCAATTTTATTGAATTTCAGGCTACTAGGGATTGAATAAATTTACTTTCTACCTTGTTTGAGCAAATCTCGACGCTACCATCACTTGTGACTGCAAACTCGACAAATCTGGTGTCATGTCTTAAAACTAAAACGGCCGCTACTCTAATTTCAGAAAGAAACATTGTGGAAAGTGGTTTCTGTAATAAATAATTTTTAATATCGAAATGAATACGCAACGCGTCGGCCATATTCTCATCTGCAGGACACAGAAATATAGCCTGCAGTCACGTGTTGCGTTTAAACCAATGAAAGTGTGACATTTCAATCCGAGGGAAAATAAAATGTATTGTTGTTTTGAAAATCAAAATAAAAAAAGACTAGTAATCTTTAGAGTATTTTAATTTTCCAACAAAAATCAGTAAACGTAAGTATTTTTAGTTTAAAATGAAAAAAAAAAAAAAGAATCAGTAAGCTGTCAAAGTTAATTTTTCCCATTTCTATGGAATTCCATATACGACAGCCAACTGCTTACTACCGACTGCTCACTGCCAACTACTTACTGCCAACTGTTCCACTGCCAACTGCCACTGCATATAGATGATATTGCCTATTTTGTTTTATTAATATCTTTAAACGCATGCTTGATTAAATCCTATGATAGCAAGAAAAGAACGGCGAACGATAGTTTTGTTCTGCCAACAACCTCCAAGTCAATTTTTCAAAAGTTGACAAAAGTTTGTCATATTTATATAGATATTTATGTGAATTTTTACAACTTAGTTGGGAAAACAAACAGAGATAAGTCTTTAATTTGGTAAAATTTTTCACCATAGAAATCAGCGGAAAATTAAAATTTATTTTCAAAACATCTCCACCCCCCTTGAAACACCGATTCCTTTTTACAGGCATTATGAATTGTTATTTCACAAATTCATACCAAAGGTTTTGTTGTTTCACAGGGGGGAGGGGGCATATGTTTACAGACTTAAACAGGAAAAAAGTGATTTTATTACCAATTTCAAATGAGATAACAAATTTAAAAAATGTACTTGCTAACAAAATAGGCAATATCATCTGTAGTGGTAGTGAGCAGTTGGCAGTAAGCAGTTAGCAGTGAGCAGTTGGCAGTTAGCAGTGAGCAGTTGGCAATAAGCAATTGGCTGTCGTATATGGAATTCCATAGAATTACATGTAATTATGGAATTCCATATACGACAGCCAACTGCTTACTGGCAACTGTTCACTGCTTACTGCCAACTGCTCACTGCTAACTGTTTACTTATCATACCTAAAGGTTTTGTTGTTTCATGGGGGGGGGGGATGTTTATCGACTAAAAATAGGAAAATATTAATTTTATTACAAATTTCAAATGAGATAACAAATAAAAATAAATGTACTTTATCAATCTGATATGTTGAAGTATTTGAAAATCTGGTGATGTTTTAAAGCCTGATTTCAATTGATAAACTTTTCTACCCCTTAAGAAAGGAGTTATAAATAAGAGCAATAACTTTTTGACACTGGTTTTCAGAATTATTAATCCATAATTAATGAACTTTTCTCTACATTCAAACAAGTTTTAATGGCCAAAATGCCATTTATATTTAAATGGATGTAAAATGTAGTTAGCGTGCGTAGTTCTTACAATATTAATAACAAAAACTGAAATTTTTGAACTATGAAGGCGAGGAAGGAGTAAATCGGAAGAAGGAATATTTCCTCTTAAAATCAATACATTTAATTCCCACATTTCCTTGCAGGCAAATAATTCAATAGTTTTTGGAAGGGGGGGGGGTATTATCCAGCACTATCTTTTAGTGTTTCTTTTTACCTATGAAAAGTAAGTGTATTTGTGTATTTGTGAATTTTCGTATGTCTCTTTTTTAAATCGTTTTTATGGCTAATGTCAGATCTGTAAAAACATTGGTGGTGGTGGTGGGGATTTCTGTTAGATTGTGCCCCCCCCCTTTCCGTGTATTTTTTTCCTTTTTGATTTTTGTTTCTTTCATTACTTACAATATGTATTCTTTCTTCTTTTTTTCTCCTAACATTATGATTGATTCTAATCTAAAAAATCTCTGTGAAGATAAATGAATGAACCCAAAATCCTACTATAAGAGTTTGTCCTCCAACCCCACCCCCAAAAAATGTTTTCTGACGTTATATAAACCTTTAATCTCTCCCCCGTCAAAACAGCTATTTAATTATTTGCCTGCAAGGAAATGTGGGAATTAGATGTTTTGTATTTAATTAAGGGGAAATACTCTTTCCTCCTATCTATTCCTTTCTCGCCTTAACCGCTTAAAATTCCTGGATCCGCCAATTTTTTGTAATTATTTTAAATTCTTCCTATGATAGGGTTTATTCAAGCATGCGCATTTAAGATATTAAAGATAACAAAACACGCAAGATCATCTATAACCAGTAGCAGTTGGCAGTAAGCAGTGAGCAGTTGGCAGTAAGCAGCTGGCAGTTGACAGTACGCAGTTGGCTGTCGTATATGGAATTCCATACATTTCCATAAAAGCTGTATAAATTGAAAATAGAGGAAAGTATTTTATTATATCCATATTTTCTAGAATATTAGTTTAAGTTATTCATTAACTACTTATTAAATAAATTCGGTAGATCTTCCGGAAATTTGCTATTTTTTTCAAAATCACAGGGCCTTTGAAGCAAATAATTATTAAGGCACGTATCATATTCATTTATACAGACCTAATTTCATTATATATACGGTATCTTAATGATACAACTGTTAGACATACAGTACATTTTCCGAGGATGAAATATTATGCAACTCTTCATACTAAATTAATTTACACAGTAAAAACAAGCATTGATTTAAAATATCGAAAGTAATTCAAGTCTCAAATCCATTCCGAAATCCGGAGTCGCTCCTACGGGACTTCACTAGAAGATGAAGTGAAAAAGTGCCCGTCGAAACTGGCGTTCTAACAGTTTCATCTAATCACTTTAATCAGCTCCATTGTGTTAGGAAATTGTCCTCATATGTTTCAGATAATTTAGGTGGCGAAAATTCTAAGCATGGCATCCCCCAACAGGAACAATGGAAAAGCGACGTCAATTTAATTGAATTGACATAATGATCGCCGAGAATGATAGAAAATGTAATATTTTACCAATGAAGAAGGAATTAGAAATCCCCTTTGATTAACAGTAGGCAGAATTTGAGAGATATTATTGAGATCTATTAGTGTCGTTAGCTCATTTAAAGATTTTTTCTCACTGTAGAAAGGAATATTCTCTGGAACGACTTTTTTTTTACTTGAACTTCTGCCTGAATATTTTGAAAATAAACTGATAAAATGTATCAAGAAACTTTCTTTCCACGAGTATGTTTACTACGAATTTGAGAATATATGAGCATGCACTATAGAAGGCTGAAATAAGCGACTAAACATTCCGACTCTTATGCAATTTATTTGATATAAATTATCATATTATTGCAGCCCGGAGGACCGGGCTGCTCTATACATATAAGTTTAAGTGTTGGTATATGGGGATTGAGGTGGGAGAAGTTATTCAGAATTAAAGGTTTTCTAAACATTAAAAAGATTTTTAATCAGAATGTTCTTTCCCTTTATAAATTACGAGATACACAATATATTTACTTCCATAAAGTGAATCTGTAAAAATATATATGTTTTTCTTATTTAATATATAAAGTTGCTTATCATTTACTATCGAAAAACGACAGGTCCCTTTTTTTAGAACATCGAATTTTACTTATCGCATAAAAACGTAAAAACGTACTTTACACAGTTCGTGTTTTATATTCTTAAAGTGATAGACATTTTTTGAAAATAGGTGATGCATGTGTCTGGTTTCAAATTATATTTTATGCAGCCAACATTTACTTGAGGAATTGATAAAGTTTAAAAGGGTATCGTTTTTGTTCGATTTTCATCCGACTATAGGTTTTCAAAATATTCTCGACTATCGTCTCCATCATTTAGACGCATGCTTTTTTCACACATATCGAAGCGGTTTGATGATCAAGACTCATTTCCATTGTTTACTTTACTTATTTCCCGGGCGACAATTGATGGTTACATCAATGTTTTCTTGTTAAATACATGTAGTAGTAATGTTGCATTAGCGCGGGGAATGTTATTTGAATTGCATCATATAGACATGTCAGTCACAACTAATAAATTATAAATACAAGTATAGCTTTTTCAAAAAAAACTTTGCCGTCTTTAGCAACAACCTTAAACTGTGTAAACTGACATTCATCTATAAGGCCGTTTATTTTTAAGTACTGTAGCTTTTTCAATGCATTTTTACAGACAGTAGCCCTACCAAAAGACAAAAAGAATAAACACACATTTCAATGTTTGCATACAGAAAAGAACTTTCTGTTAATTATGAAAATATAGAAAAACTTAATAATAGTTGCTATAAAAAATTTATGTGTCAGTTTCATTTACTGTACTTTTCTTTTGTTCGTTTTGTCGATTTTTTTAAGATCGGAAATCTTGAAAAATGCATTGTTAAGTCATACGGAAATTAGATCACCAGAAAATTATCTCCCTTGCCTAGCACACATTTCAACCAATGAAATAACTGAAAATGGTCACATCATGCATTTTCTACCAATCACAGAAGAGAGGAAGAGAGGAAGTACACAGTCCGAAGACTGTAATATACTTCAACTAGACATCTAATAAGTCAAGTACACAGTTAAAGTATATCACTGAGGGAGTTAGTAAGATTCCAGTTTCCCAAGACCAAGACTACCGGTAATTCCCGAGGCGAGGCCGAGACAAATAGACCTGGCTCCGGGGCCATAAAACTAAGACGAGCTCACTTTTGATCTCAGTCTCAATTTTACAAAAGGAATATATGGTGGAAAAGTGAGATTGAGATCAAAAGTGAGCTCGTCTAAGTTTTATGGCCCCGGAGCCTGGTCGAGGGGAACTATAGAATCTTACTAACTTCCTCAATGAGTACATCTTAACTGTTTTAAGTGGGAATTAGTTTTCGAGCAGGGATTAGCTCACTTGACCAATGCACTGTAGAACGGGGATTCGTCCTTTCATTGCGATTTCTAGGGAATTACATCTACCGATCTAATCTGATGCAGTGAAAAATCGGTAGAGATATAATAATGCAATGTAAAACCCTTTCTAATGGTTATAAGCAAGGTCATACGACACACGAAATGTATCTGATATACACATGTAGTCGAAACATTCGTTCATTCATTTTAATACCATCTGGAGTAAAAGTCGCAATTGTTAGACATGATCTGAGAGAAAACATGTTTGTTTTTAGGTATGGTTTCAGAACAGAAGAGCAAAGTGCAGGAAACAAGAAAGTCAGATGCAGAAAGGTATGTGATTGGAAGCAGTCAAATGATTAGAAAGAAATGTGTCGCTCAAAATTAAAGCCAAAAGATCTCTCCGATTCGGATTATATTTATTACAGGGCACAAATCACATTAATTGCGAAGATAGTTTCAATAGGGTTTACTTGTGTCGCTAATATAATCAATACTAATTTGCTCAGCTTTTCTTGGGCTAATTTGATCAATTTGCCGATTCGCTTTCTTCATTCGTTCAATATGTGATGAATTAGGTGAAAAAGGAGGAACGAAGAGTACGACCCTCCAAAGAAATTGACACCTTAGTGAAGTTATTCCCCAGAAATAGACATATTCCAAGATGTCCTAATGCGGAATGCACTTCATCAATGTCAATTTTTGGAACAGGTCAAAATTCTTGGATTGTCCTTTTTTGGTCCACAATTATATGGAATGGTGATTCTGTATGTAAAAAGAAGGGGAAAAAATGAAGAAAGTATTTACATACTTTCTGCGGTTATATCCTTATATGAAACATTAATAGAATAACAATTAATATGTTTATTCTTAAAAGAGACTTCAATTTAAAAACTTGATAATTAATTATAGTGATGAAGTAAATTCCCTTATTAAAATGATTGGAATGTTGATTTTATTCGACAAGTATTAGATTTTTTAAAATTAATCTCCAACATGTGTTCAGCAAAAACAAATCAAAGACGTCAATTCTATTTGTGAAGTAAGATAGCAGATATATATTTTTACACACGTTATCATAAAAAGTTATCTTCATGTACCCTGATTTTATGAAGAACCATTAAAAAAATTATCTGAATTATCTTATTATTGTGAAAAATTATTATCAAAAATCTGGTGTCCGTAGTAATTATAATAAATTTTAGAATTATTGAGTAAGTCCATATAGCATTTTTTTTATTTTATCTATATCATAATTATTATTATTATTTTTACAAATGATTCAAGGATTTCAGATTACCGTCTCAATACACATAAATCAACTCAACCGTCCAGATTACAGATTAGTTAACTTCAAGTATGTCTTTTTCCTCTGCTTTTAATGAAGATTAGAATGTCAGGTTATATAAAAGTTGTCCTTTTCTGCTATTTCCCAGTTTCTTCACCTTCATTCATCATAGATTTTTCCTCATCTCTTTTTAATTTTCCGTATATATATATATATATATATATATATATATATATATATATATATATATATATATATATATATATATATATATATATATATATATATATATTTTTCGCTGGTATGGTATTTAAATATTTTTTCAAGGGATGGAAACCATAAATAAGTAAACTTTCACTGTGTGTATCCGTAGTAAATACAACTTTGTACAAAAGATGAAAATTAGGCACTTTGTAACACCTTTGTTAGTATTTTACAGCATGCTTTTCTTCAGAATTGATATGAAAATCTTTCATGGGCAAAATCTCCTGTAATGAATTCAGTTAAAATCTTAGGCTTTTGATACATGTAAACTAGAAATATCAGTTGCTTCACATTCAGTCAGAGCACAAATTGGAACATGTAGTACTGATGGTTTTTTGTTATGGCTTTAGTGTAATACTAATAAAATAAATGTAAGCTAGATTAATTTGCTTTGTGTCGATGTAATATAAATAACAAAATATGTATTCATAATTTTCCTCCCAAAATATTGGTAATCATTTAAAGTTTGACATTTCTTGATTATTTCTCATTGTTAATATAAAATTGAGATTGATGAAAAATCGACGGATGTCGAGAAAATACAATTAGTGGTTAAGATATATTTTCTAGGATGATCCGAAAAATCAAGCAAACGAGTTTATTTTCGAAACTGAATTATTTTGCAGATAGGAGATTCTTGATATATGGTGATCCCGAAAATTGGCTCTATAATTTATTTCATTGGAAGTCCCAATGAACAAATAATAAGTGAAGAACCCGGGCTTATTGACAATGGAAACCGGTATTACAGATTTGAATGCTGCTCACGATGATAAATTGACGTCAACAAATATTTAACTATTGCGGCAAACATGTTCTAACGAAACCCCAAAATCTTTCTCTTTCAAAAAAGCACGTGACCTCTGATCCTCCTGCGAATGGCTGTCGATTGAAACTTTCGTTGTCGTCTGCGCTAGTCTTATTAGAGGCAACTGAAAAGAACTGGGTGCAAATTAGTCAAACATAAAAAAGATAGCCAAGACGAAGATTAACGTATTTGAGTTCATTAGGAATATCCCGTCAGTTTCTGTAGCTAATAATTCTCGTCAGATTCTCACATATTTAGAGTAAACATTTTCCGCAATAGCCAATTATTGGCCGAATGCTTCGTCAGATTATGATAAATTGCGAAACCAATTCATTATTTGATATACGTTGTTGAAACATGAACTTCGGGGCCTAATATCAAAGAGTTATACTTTAGGTCATGGATGAAAAGTTGCAAATAACTCTGAAATTCTATGGAATATTCGGTACAAATTAACAAAGCCTGTTAATTTAGTAAAAGAAAATTGCTATCCATTATTTCATGTTAAAAAGTTAACTAGGTTTTTCTCTCCTTTTTTTAACAGCTGGGTTACTTATTCAAGCTCAAGGAACGCCATTGGATGCTTGCAGAATGACGCCATTTGTTACCATGCCTCCGATGCGCGAACCGATAGAACGCTTACCGCCAATATCGCCATTCCTACCCTATTACCCGATCCCCAGCCCCGGGGGCCATGCCCCACAGACCCTTCACCCTTTACTTCTGTACCACCATCACTATGCGGCCGCCTTGAATTACGCCTCCTTGCATGACACCAGCTTTAAATCGAACAAAAATTCCAGCATTGCGGATCTTAGAATGAAGGCAAGACAGCACCTAGCTTCACTTGGAATCTGAAAAAGTTAACAATATTGGACTTAATGATTCTATAGTTTTTTTTTATTGACATTAAAAAATATTTTATTTATTTTAGTTGCAAACTTTTGAAGTTTTTATGAATTAAAGGCTGTCTTTGTTGCATTTAGATAGTCTTTTGTAACTATTAAACATGTAAACATGTGATGTAATCTAGTTCAATAATAGCGATGTATTGTATTTCAAGCAAATCAGAATTTAAGACGTACAATAACTAAAAGCGTGTAAGACGAAATATATGCAAATGCTAAATTGAATATATTTCTCTTTCAAAAATTGTAATGTCTTGATCACTTCTTGTAAAGACCTCTTTTTATACAATTCCTTCTTGAATGTATTTACAATTATAAAAAATATTTATATTTGTTTATTTAGTTTCGGAGCCAAACAATGCATTCAAGAATCTTTGCTTCTTCATAATGGGTCTATACTGGAGTATATTGTTGATTCTGTACAAAATAATTATTTGAATGTATATATGACTTTGTTATATGCGATGTTTTGAATCTGTCGTTTTTGAGATGAAGATAACTTCTTCGAAATCGTATGTATTATTCTTTCACCCAGTAAAATTATTCTAGATATGCTGTTTATATCACAAGTGCTTGGAGCCAAGAATTATAAAATAGAGAGCCGAGGGTATGATTTTTTTTTTTAAATAAAACGTTTATTCTACATTATTTTTTTTGGTTTTGTTTTTATTGATTTTCCAGATGAAATACATTGTAGAATAATTTATGAATAAGAAGACAAATAAAAATCTTTGGGTCCGGGGTGTACATGTACATGTATACTGTGGAAGCGAGGGTTCCTGTCCATAAGCACCTGTGGTTGATGTACATACACGTAAGATATACAAGACATTTTAATCGATCTAATGTTGTTGGACGAGGGATTGCTTTGCTTTTTTATTTTTAATTAGTGAGGCATGTTGTTAGAAATGCTATACATTGTAATCTATGGTGATCGTTAACCAATCTGTCTCTGTCAGGTATATTACAATAGAGCTGTATTATTCTCCCTTCTGATTTGCTGATTTTCCTGTACTTACTTTTTTTAAATTACTGCCTACCAACCGATAAATACAATGTTTACAATATAGGAGAATCTTCAAAATAAAAAATGAATAAAAGCATAGTCGCAGATTTTAGATTATTTTTCTTACCGAAGAATCAAATTTGGGTTTCTTATGAAAAGTTATTTTCTCTCACATTCCACATGAAAGCATATTAATTATTATTATTTTGTGTTTGTAAAATGTAGAATTTTCTACTTGTCAAAAATAAGATTTAAATGCCTGAATGTTGAATAAATATGAAAAAAGAATTAATTGATTATTAATGAATTATAGCATATAAATACTTAAATAATATTAGATCTACAATATACCAAACGTATCACCTCTTAGTTTTTTTTTTTTGTTTTTGTTTTTTTTTTTGCAGTGTCCTATATAAAAATACAAGCTTTCATCTTCTCTAGAAAATCAAAAAAGTATTATATATATCAAGCAAAACATGGAAGGATTCCAGATACGAATTACAAAAGCAATACTTCCTCGCTTAAGTGAAAGAACTTAACTTTAAGAATTCATCATCTATCTCCTTGTTCCGAAAATTCAAACGGTTCTTAATGTTCTCTTTGAAATCCATCATATTTTACAAGGATATACATTGTAAGTATGCTTTCGTTTGAAACAAATTAAACTAGACAGCAGATAATTTTTATGTATATGAATGTTTGTAACGTATATTTTATACAATTCGCTAAGACACGACTTATATATAGCGGTATAAGTATACGGCTTTGACAAATTATAAAAATAAAGAGATTTATTCGTTTGTAGACAACATTTCTCAGATGTATCAAAGATAACATTATATATTAATGTACATTTCTCGTTGACGTCTGTGAGATTTGATATAATAATCTTCTCATAAAACACAAGGGATCAAATTGTCTGCAATTGTATGTTAACGTATAGTACATAATGATGAATAATTATAGGTGTACCACTAATTTGGCTAATAAATTCATGGAAAGAGCTGGTACTTAAACATCTGAAATGGTACCCTGATTTAATAAAGCATAGTTTCATAATGAAGGAAATATCTTATTATATTGCCCACAAAAAGGTTTGTGTAATGTTGATACGACAAGCAAAACATGGTGTATTTTAATACAGCCTCGTCATTAGCATCACATATCATGTAAAACCAATTTGTCAACGTTAATAAATATTGATTGACTCGCATATTCGAGCAGGAGAAAAAAATCTCTTTCCCTTATTGTGACAAGGTTTAGCATTAATGATTTATGAATCAAACTCCAGTGATCATTTGTACTCACATATCACATAACAGGTTTAATTTTATTTGGTGACAGAACGCCAACAACCCGCCTTCCTTTCTATTCTCCTAACATTTAAATCATATTAACCAACGATAATAATATCATTTTCACTTCTGTAAATGGGCTCACACTACAATGATTAATATCGGAAACAGCCGAAATTGTTATTTGAGCGAAGCAATGAAATATTTTGGAAGAAAAACTAAGTTAATTATTATATAACTAATTTGGCGTGTATTCGAATATGATCCGATTAGCGCCCACTGTTTTCATGTATGTGTGAATATACATTTTGGATAATGTTAGTGGTTGCTAACTGAACTTTATGACTATAAACATGAGACCGAATAATTCATAAAAGTTGTCAAAAATTATCATGAATAATTAATACTTTCCCACAGGGCTCCCTGATAGACCATCAGAGGAATGAATTTGTGGTTTCTCGATTTTCACTTCATTTCCAGTCTAACGTCTTCTCTTTGGTGTTAGAAATTATGATCATAATTTGAAAAATTAATATTGATGATTCCGAGTCCTTGTTTGACTGAGTCAGAAAAACTGATGTCCCAGAACTCTGCCAGAATTCTCTCTCATGATTCGCTACATTTTATTAGGTAATTATTATTAAAGTCAAATACAAACCTCGGTGCTAAAATTAAAGGATAGAAGAAAAAAGCAAAACAAAATCAAAAGTCTACTATAAATGATTCATTTCGTTTTTCTTTCGTTTGCTCCCGAAAATATTCCTAACATATATTGTGACGGAATAAAGGGAAATTCCAAGTACATGTATATTATATGGACGTACTTGTACGTGGTTACAGTGAATGACCCCTCTTGTCCATCCCGACTGTCTGTTGTGTAAATTTCATACATCTTTTTGGGCTGGTCTAGTAGAGGATTCATTAGCTATCAACCCAAGTTTTCATTTACATAACAAGGAGTTTTTAAAGGAACAACGGGATTACTGGCTTTTACTTTGTTGGTTTTTAAAATTAATTTTGAACGATCCATCCCCGAATGGCCTATGCATCTGTATTGTCCTTTACGAAATTTCGATTTTTTTTCGATTTAAATCGGAGCATGACATTATCCTATACAAATTTAAATTGAAAAAATACTTAAATTTGGTAAACACCCAATGCGGCATTTAAACAAAACGTACAAATTTATTTGTAAAAGATTTAAAAATTTATTTTTAAAACACAAATTTCCCTCAGACGTGGCACAGTTGTGGATGAATTTGTTTAAACTTACCTTATGGGACAAAATGCTTGCCACATGACTCATGCTTGTTGATTCAATGGAGATACAATATATTCATATAATGTACACCACACCAAAACCAAAATTCTTTACCTGACATTATATGATTGTCTACACTCCTCCCTAAATCTCCCTGATTGTATAGGTATAAGTATACACTCCTCCTTAAATCTCCCTGATTGTATAGGTATAAGTATACTAGTACACTCCTCCTTAGATCTCCCTGATTGTATAGCTATAAGTATACTATTTTCTTTAGTACACTCCTCCTTAAATCTCCCTGATTGTATAGGTATAAGTATACTAGTACACTCCTCCTTAGATCTCCCTGATTGTATAGCTATAAGTATTCTATAGTACACCCCTCCCTAAATCTCCCTGATTATATAGGTATAAGTGTACTAGTACACTCCTCCTTAAATCTCCCTGATTGTATAGGTATAAGTATACTAGTACACTTCTCCCTAAATCTCCCTGATTGTATAGGTATAAGTATACTAGTGCACTCCTCCCTAAATCTCCCTGATTGTACAGATATAAGTATACTAGTACACTCCTCCCTAAATCTCCCTGATTGTATAGGTATAAGTATACTAGTACACTCCTTAAATCTCCCTGATTGTATAGGTATAAGTATACTAGTACACTCCTCCTTAAATCTCCATGATTATATAGGTATAAGTATTCTAGTACACTCCTCCTTAAATCTCCCTGATTGTATAGGTATAAGTATACCAGTACACTCCTCCTTAAATCTCCCATATTGTATAGGTATAAGTATACTAGTACACTCCTCCTTAAATCTCCCTGATTGTATAGGTATAAGTATATATACTAGTACACTCCTCACTAAATCTCCCTGATTGTATAGGTATAAGTATACACTCCTCCCTAAATCTCCCTGGTTGTATAGGTATAAGTATACTAGTACATTCCTCCTTAAATCTCCCTGATTGTATAGGTATAAGTATACTAGTACACTCCTCCTTAAATCTCCCTGATTGTATAGGTATAAGTATACTAGTACATTCCTCCTTAAATCTCCCTGATTGTATAGCTATAAGTATACTAGTACACTCCTCCTTAAATCTCCCTGATTGTATAGCTATAAGTATACACTCCTCCCTAAATCTCCCTGATTGTATAGGTATAAGGATACTAGTACACTCCTCCTTAAATCTCCCTGATTATATAGCTGTAAGTATACTAGTGTACTACTCCTTAAATCTCCCTGATTGTATAGCTATAAGTATACTAGTACACTCCTCCTTAAATCTCCCTGATTGTATAGGTATAAGTATACTAGTACACTCCTCCTTAAATTTCCCTGATTGTATAGGTATAAGTATACACTCCTCCCTAAATCT